GCGGAGGTTGCAGTGAGCAGAGATCACGCCACTGCACTCCAGCCTGGGCGACAGAGCGAGACTCCGTCTCAAAAAAAAAAAAAAAATCAACCTCAGGAGTCAAGGCTGTGGTGGACAAGGAAGCCCAAACCCCTTCAAAGGGCGCCCCAATTCCTGGCTCCACAGTTTGTTGCTATGTAGGACTGTGGGCACAGGGCAGCCAGATAGTCTGATTTGATATGTTCACAACTCATTTATATTAAACAGTCCAGCCCTGTGTGGGCTGATCAAAACAGCCCTGGGCCTGACTTGTCCCCAGAGGCTCCAGCTGGCAGTCCCTGCACTCACTCTGGGGTCACAGGGAAGTGGTGAGGTGGGAGAACAGGCGGGGTGCAGGAGGCAACAGGAGCCCTGCACTTCCGTGCCGGGTGACTGTCACTGCCACGGCCTGGGAGGTGTCCAGAGTGGGCTGCCTGTGGCCAGGGTTTGCCTGTGCTGTGGCTGCTGCAAAGCCTGCCTCATTTTCCTCCCCATTCCCTCACGTGCAGTCCTTGTCAGCAGGAGCATCCGGGAGGGACCTCCCTGCCCGCCCTGGAGCTGCCTTCACCTGACAGCCACACAGTCGGTGTTTAAAGAAACCCGTGGTTACTGGGCGGGACTCATTTCCATCAGCAGAATCTTCATGATGATTTGTGTGTTTACCTGATGTTATTCAAGTTGAGTATAAGCTCGTCACCTTTGGTGTAAAACTGAGCTTCCGAGCTGGCTTCCTGCAACAAGAGAAGATCAGGCCCCGTGGCTCTTAATAGGATCCGAGTGTGGAGTTAGGGGTTATGCCGGGAGGCTCTGGGATCTGAATCTCAGTTCCTGGCTCTGTGACCTTGGCAAAGGGTTTGACCTTTCTGGGCCTCACTTTCCTCATCTGTTAAATGAGATAGTACTTGTACCCACTCCCCATTTCACAGATGACAATCTAGGCTTGCTGTAGGGAATGATGATGATGATGATGATGATGACGACAGCAGCCACTTTGCATGGAGCCTGCACTCCCTTACCCTAGTGTGTAGGTGGCCCAGCTCAGGAAGTTTTCGTATTCCATTTCTCTGGACACACTGATTGGCTCAAGAACGGGCAACTGACTCAGGCTCATTCGATGGGAGTCAGCCCTGAGATGCTGGAACTATTGGAAAGATAGATTCTTCCTGCTAGGACTGCCAAGCTGATAGGATAGGAGCCTAATGCAGCCTGGGCACTTCCGTGAGGGAATAGCTTGCCTGAGGAGGAAGGCAGCACGGAGGAAAACAGGGCTGCTAGGTGGAAGAGAGGGGAATGAAGAGGATATTGTTTGAGCACCTGGGTCCAGCTATTCCTGAAGCCAAGAGCATCGAGACTTTTTAGTTACAGGAGGAGCTAAAACAATTCCTTTTATGCATATGAGTTGAGTTTCTGCCCAGAGATCCCTGACTAGTAAAGTCACAGGGTTAGAATTGGGCCCACAAAGCTCCTGGCTCTTGGTTCAGAGCTCCCTTTCCCCTGTCCCTGCTGAGTGATGAGAGTGGTGGCAATGTTTAACAAAGCAGGAGGGTGAACAGGAAAAGTGGACAGAAGGGTCCCCCTGGCTGCTGCCAACATGGCAGACAGCTGAACTCACGATGCCCAGGGTGAACAAAGGGCGGAGGGCTTCACTGGAGGCAAACACTTCCAGCACGATCAGCTGGGCCACCCTGGCGTGGCCTTGGTCCGTGAAAAACTCGGGAGTGTCCTGAGTTAGGATCTTCACGATCTGGGTAGATCCCAGCGTATCTGCAGCCTGGAAGGAGATCAGAGCCACAGGTGGCCTCCCAAGTGCCCACCACGGCCCACAGGCCCTGTGTGGCCTGGCCCTGCCTGCCTTTGTGGGCTCCCTGCTCCCTCTCGTGCTCCAGCCACTCTGTCCTTCTTGCAGATCCTTGAATGTTGTGTTGTTCTCCCTACCTGGCAGCCTTTGGTCTCCTGTTCCCTCTGTCTGGAATACCCTTCCCTTCAGGGAGCCCTCCCTGGTGTCCCAGACTATGTCAGGGGCCCAGAGTGTTCTCATGGCCCCTAGAACCTGTCCTGTGTTACTGCACCTGTCATGGAAACACTATCTGCGTGATGATTTGCTTCAGGTCAAACTGGCCTGCTAGACTGAAATCTCTGTGTGGACAGGGATGTGGTTTGAGCGTCCCAGTGCTGGAATGAAATGCTAGTCCCACCAGATTCTCCTCCCCAGAGGCCTGTGTCCAGACCACAGCAAACACCCATCAAGCTGTGGATGGCAAACGCACCAACCTTTCCATTGATCAGTCCGATGCTTGACTTCAGCCGACGGGCTATCTCAGGAAGCTGAGGGTGAGAGGAGCCAGAGAAGGTCAGCTGGAGGGCACAGGGAGGCACATCTCCTGCACCCCACTGCTGGGAGGAAGGTTTCCCAGGACCCCAGAAAAGCTGGGTGGGCCCAGTGACCCAAGCCATGTGTCTGTCATTGGTGGAAAAACAGCCCCTAGGTCAGCTTCTATGGGCCATGGGGTCCTGCTGGGCTGGACTTCTACTGTGGGCTGGTGATGGCTGTGGGGCTGCGGGCAGCTTGCTGATCTCAGAGGACATAGAGAGGTGATTTCATTATCACTACAACCATGAATGGGCTAGTTGGTGACACTCCCTATTTCCCGCCATCCCAGTCCCCCAAGAGCTGGGTTATCAGTTGTCTGTCAACTGCTCTGAAGTCCTGCCATCCTCCCATAACACTGGACCAACCCTTTCCCTCTGGACCTCAATTTCCCCATCAGTCACCCGGGAGGAGGTGGCACAACATAGTTGACTGGTGGTGGTTACCTGCTGTGCCCTGTTAATAAGGATTCCAAGGTTGTGTCAGCATCCAGACTCAGTAGGAAGGACAGCCCTGATCGATTAGTGATGTCTGTCATGAGTGCCATAGTGGTGAGCAGTGGCACAGTCGCCATCCCTGGACTACTCACTATCTGAGATGTATTTATCAGCCCTGGACTACTGCGTATCTCAGATGCCTTTGATTCCACATGACTGTGGTTTGGTAGAGGAAACAGGTGCATCAGATTCCAGAGGGCAGAACCATGACGGGCTGGATGTTACAGGGAGGATTTTCGGTTTAGAGCTATGTCAGAGGCAGGATCTGTTAGGGGAGGGAGTGAGCTCTCCATTACTGGAAGGATTTAAACTGAGCCTGATGGGAGATTCCTGCTTAGGGGCACCCTGTGCAGGAAATTCCTATGATGCAGCCTGGGCGGCCCTATTCTCTGTCTTGTGCTGAGGCTTACCACAGAGTCCAACAGGACTATGAATTCTTCTGGAGGGAGCATAGCAGCCACTGCAGCTTTCACCACATCCTGACTCACAATGAAGCTGAATGGGGTGTTGTCCAGGGAGGGCACTGCCAGCGAAGCTGCAGAGTTATTGAACCACTTGGTCACCTTTCCCTGTGAGTCCAACAACTTGGCCTGAGGAGACAGAGCAGGGAGTGGCCTGAGAATTTTAATTCTGCAGCTTACCGAGTAACAACCTAGAAGGAAATGACACCGTTTAGCCTGTTTCCTTTTTTTGCATGTGTTGCCAGGAAGCTTAGCCTGGAACTCAGGTGCCTGGCAACATCTACTCCATCTTTGCCCCTCGGATAATCTCTGACTTTTATTTTTTATACTAGACATCTTAGTTTTTTTCCCATGCTTCAACTTCTCAGATACCTCCAACCCTTTGGATGGAGGGAAAATTAAAAACTGCAACAAAATGGATGAAACTATTTGATGCTGCGGTTTTCCAAAGGATCCACAGAAACTAGTCCAGGGGCCAGGCGTGGTGGCTCATGCTTGTAATCTTAGCACTTTGGGAGGCCGAAGTGGGAGGATCATTTGAGCCCAGGAATAGGAGACCAGCCTGGGCAACATGGTGGAACCCCATCTCTACAAAAAACACAAAAAATTAGCTGGGCGTGGTGGCAAGTGCCTACAGTCCCAGCTACTCAGGAGGCTGAGGTGAGAGGATTGCTTGAGCCCAGGAGGTCAAGGCTGCAGTGAGCTGTGATGGCACCACTGCACTCCAGCCTGGGTGACAGAGTGAGACTCAGTCTCAACAAAACAAAACAAAACAAACCTGGTCTGGGATTTATGCTACCAGGATGGTCTGGCCCTTCGGGGCATCCAGCCACAGCATGGCTGTGCAGCCCCACACGGGACAGGGAGCTGACTGTTACTGGGCGCTTCCCGTCTGCCAGGCATGGTGTGGTCTCATTTCATCCTCTCCTCAGTGGCCATTATTGCTGACATTTTGCAGACAAGGAAACTGAGGCTCAGGGAGGTGAAGGAACTTGCCCAAAGTCACACAGCCAGGGAGTCACAGAGCTGGGAGAGAAACTTAGGTCTGTGTTTCTTGGTCCTTGGCTTTTGTTTCAAGGTTGTCAGAGGTTTGAGGATTGGCAGGGACTTGCCTGAGAGAAAGGCTGAGGACCCAGTGTCCCCACTCGGGCCCCTGAGTGGGGAAACGGGGTGAGGGCAGATCTCCCGGGTGAAGGTTCTTTGGCTTTGGGGCTCTGCTGGGTGGCTTTTTTCCCTTAGCATGGCTTGCATGGGATGTATTCAGCCGGCAGTGATTTTTCTAGATCAGCCTGTGTGTCCTAACGGTGACCAGGATTTTCTCTCCTAATACAGGCCCATGCTATCTGACTCCTGGTGGTCAGAGAAGGGCAGTGATGTCCCCGCTTCACCCTCAAGGTCGTGGGACACTCACCCCCAGGTAGAGCAGAATGGTGTCGCCCTTGATGGCAGGAGACAGAAGGTCAAACTCCAGACGGTCAGTGCTGAGGGAAATGGGCACTGCTCAGGGACAAGAAGAAAGTTCTGTGAGGATGGAGGGCAGTACTGGAGGGGGAAATTGGGGGGCTGCTTCCAGGTGGGGCTGTACTGTTGCATGGGGGGCAGGTAGGGAGGAGCAGGTAATAATGATGTTGATAATATGATGCAAACAGTGATGACATTGACTGACATTTATCGAGCATCCACCAAGTGCCAGGCCTCTGCATGTCAGCTGGTTCATCTGCATGATAAGCTTAGGAAGTAGGTCTTATTATTACCCCCTTTTACAGATGCGGAAACCAAGGCTGAGGAAAGTGAAATGACCTGTTTAAAGCCATACTGCGGGAGCATGTGAACCCAGTCGGTTTTATGCCAAAGTCCCGGATTGGAACGAAACTGAACTATTGTTTGTAACTCCACCGCCCCTACCAGACTAAAAGCCGAGTCCCCGCACGCAGGAGGTTCTGGGTCTGGACACGCTATGAGCACCTGGATCTCAAGGAAGCTTAGGCTGGAAGTCAGAGGCCTGGTAACATCCGCTCCGAAATCCAACTGGCTCCTCTGCTCCCCCGAAGATCTCGTGTTCGCGTCAGAATTTCCCACTTGGCCGCCAGGTGGCGGTGGCGAGTCACCTGCCCCGGTGTATGGCCGAGGACGGTGAGTGCTGGAGGAGCCAGGGACCGGCCGCCTCCTGCTCCAGGGAGAGCTCCGGGCCCGTCCTCGGGACAGCGGAGGAGCCAGCTGGACTTCGGTTTGAGCCCCAGCGACCTTGGTTGGTCTCTTCTTGCCTCTGAAACTGTTTCCTCGTCTTAAAATGAGGGTATAGTGCCCGCCAGGGCAGCACATGTACTAAAATCGGAAGGACACAGAGAAGATGAGCATGACTCCTGTAAAAATTATTTTTAAAAAAGAAAAAAGGAAAGAAACGGCGGTAGAATAGTAATTCCTGCCTCATGTATAGAAGCGGCACCTAGTAACGGCTCAATCTGAATGACACCCGCTGGGAACTCGAGTCTTCCCCTATCACCAACTGCCTTGTGAGCTTGGACAGTGACTTAATTGCTGGGAGACTGTTTAATCACAGTGAAGGCGGGTCATGACTGCTACCTCGTGGAGTTGTCTGAGGAGTCAGTGAGACGTGCCTACAAAACACCCAGCGGGTGGGCGTGGCCCATGGCAGATGCCCTGTGGTGCTCAGTGCAGGCTCCTCTCCCTTCTCCTCTCTGGTCGCCCTTGGAATGAGCCTCTTCTGATCCCAAACAGCAGTCGGTAGACTTTTACTCTTTCCTGCCAGTTTCCACTCTGGGGGCCTGAGCAAGACAGAGTTCTGATGTGGGGACAGGAGCCTGTATCCTCCCATATCTGCTACGCTGGGGGAGGGAGAAATGACTTCTTTCCATCTTCGCCCTTTGAATCATCTCTGATTTTTATTTTTTAAACCAGATATCTCAGTTTTTAACCCATGCTTTAACTTCTCAGATGCCTCAAACCCTTTGGATGGAGGGAAAATTTAAAACTGCAACGAGATGGATAGAAGTATTATTTGATGCTGCAGTTTTCCAAAGGATCTGTAAAAACTAGTCCGGGGTTGCGTGTGATGGCTCATGCTTGTAGTCTTAGCATCTTCTGTCTGTCCATCCATCCATCCATCCATCCATCCGTCCGTCCATCCATCCATTTAGCATGCATTTGTAAGCGCTTCTCTGTGCCAGGAGGAACACCTGCTATGTGCCCGGAACTTTCTTTTGGACTTTCATTCCTCACTAACAATCCTATGATGTAGGGATGGTTAAGCCCCATTTTATGGATGAGAAAACCGAGGATGAGGAGGTAAAGTAGCTTTCCTAAAGTCACGGAGCAAGTCAGGGGCAGAGCTGGGAATTGAACTTGGGGCATCCGCTGGCCTGACAATCGCACACATAGTAGGAGCTCATGAAGTCCTAGTCATGGCGAACTTCTGTCTGCGCATCTTGGGCAGGGATCAACTGGTGCTTGTCTCACCTGCTGCTGGGCCTGAGTGGCAGCTCAGGCCTGGCTTGAGGAGGCCTTCCCTTGGTGGAGTCAGGGTCTGGAGGCCAGCTCCATAGTAAAGGAAAAAGTGCGAGAGAGAGCAGAGCACCTACCTTTCACCAGCTGCAGGAGGTCTGCATACATGCCATTGAAGGAAGCCTCGATCACGGGACACAGCTGCAACAGCATAAGCGAGGGGTTCCATCAGGGAGGGGCCAGAATGTGGCCCCACAGGAACCTGTGCCCGGCCCACCTGGCCTGAGTCCTCCTGCTGTGCCCACGGCCAACCAGTTTCCATCCATGGGTTGGGGACTCATTCGTACGTTCACCCCAGCCTACAGGGCCAGCTGGGACCTTTTACAGTGGTTCGTCCCTTGCCCTGCGCCCAGGGTGAGCTTGGCCTGCCAGAAGCCCTCCCTCTCTGACTCCTTGTCTTGCTCACAAGAGTCTGTGTTTTCCATGAGAGTGAAATGGAGGCCGGGTGCAATGGCTCATGCCTGTAATCCCAGCACTTTGGGAGGCCAAGGTGGGTGGATCGCTTGAGGCCAGGAGTTTGAGACCAGCCTGGCCAACATGGTGAAACCTCATCTCTACTAATGATACAAAAAGCCAGGCATGGTGATGCACTCCTGTAATCCCAGCTACTTGGGAGGCTGAAGCACGAGAATTGCTTGAACCCGGGAGGTGGAGGTTGCAGTGAGCTGGGATCGCGTCACTGTACTCCAGCCTGGGTGACAGAGCAAAACTCTGCTTTAAAAGAAAAAAAAAAAGAGTCAAATGGAGAATTTGTTTATTCGTACAGCAAGTTGCTACTGAGTTCTTTCCACATGTCAAACTCTAGAACAGAGGCCAGCAAGGCAGACCTGACCAGACTCCTGGGCAATCTCTTTGTGCCCTTTGTGGCTTTCTAGCCCAACACATCCCTTTGCTCACCGGGCACTTCTTGTCCTAAAATTGCCAGCAGTCTTCAACAGGGGGCGATTTTGTCCCCAAGGAGACATTTGGAAATTTCTAGAGACATTTTTAGTTGTCACAACTTGGAAGGGATGAGGGTGTTACTGGCATCTAGTGGGTGGAGGCCAGGGATGCAGCTAAACATCCTACTGTGCACAGGACAGCCCCGACAAAGAATTCTCCAGCCCAAAATGTCAGTAGTGCCAAGGTTGAGAAACTCTGACCTCACCTAACCCTGACCTGAGCTGTTCTGCTTAGGGAGAAGGTCAAACATTTGACTCACTTTTCAGGGCAGTGCTCTAAGATTATTGAGGACATTTTTTGTCTTGTTGACCACCCCTTAATACTCTTGAGGAATGACAATGCATTTGAGAAATGTTAACTCCTATGAATAACCGTTCCCTGCTCCTGGCTGCATTGCCAATCTGGAGCCCAGAGACAATGGAAGACTCTCGGCTCAGAGACTCCCAGCAGGCACTGCCAGCGGAGCGCGTTTCTCACTGGAAAGGTTTCCCGGGGAACCTCTGCATTTTATCCCACAATTCCCCATCCTTCATTTCTATCAGCAGGTCTCAACCCTGGCTACACAGTAGAGTCCTCTGGGATACTAGGACCCACCCAGACCAGTTACTTCCGAATCTGGGGTAGGGGTAGGGCCTAGCCATTAGTATTTTTTAAAGGCTTCTGAGGTTGTGATGGCTCTGATGTACAACCAGGGTTGAGATCCATGGATTTACACTGAAAAAGATTTCAACATTTTCCCTCCCTCCCTCCCTTCCTTCCTTCCTTCCTTCCTTTCCTTCCTTCCTTCCCTTCTTTCCTTCCTTCCTTTCCTTCCTTCTTTTCTTTCTTTCCTTCCTTCCTTCCCTTCTTTCTTTCCTTCCTTCCCTCTTTCTCCTTCCTTCCTTCCCTTTTCTTTCCTTCCTTCCTTCCCTCTTTCTCCTTCCTTATTTCCTTCCTTCCTTCCTTTCCTTCCTTTCTTCCCTTCTTTCTTTCCTTCCTTCCCTTCTTTCTTTCCTTCCTTCCCTTTTCTCCTT